TTTTAGAAATAACTGTTCCGATAGTTTTAGCTTCCGTCTTCATCCAGGCAGCGTGTGTGCAATACTAAACTCTACAAACTTCTTTATCACCGACTGTACTGTGATCTTGGTGTATTCCAACGTTTCGAGATGCACCCGTAACCACTGCACCCCTAACACTGAATTGATTCGTCTTGCCCATTATTAAGTTTGCTGTCAACTGGTAGGAACCGACACCTCTTGAATGACGTCACCGATAATAATGTCCACTGGGATAATATCCAACCGGATGCCATTGCGAATATCATCAAAAACTATAGAAAGAGAGTGCTGGAGCTTCTCAAGATAGAAGAACATGTCATTGATTATTATTATTGCAACTATGTCAGTTTTTTTTCGACTGTACGAATAATTATGTCTGAAGGTGTTACGGAATTTCTGCATGTCAAAACGTTTTGAAATTACATTTTGTTCTGAAAATGTAGTGCTTTTATCCCTATTACATTCTGCTTAGTTCAATTAAATCGTAGGAACATACACTCATTAATTTTGCGAGTTGTTGAAGAAAACATTGAAAAGAAAGGGATGTACGAATAATTTAACGGCTAACTGTAGTGGATTGCAAAGCAATATGCCACACAGCAATTATTAGAATGCATTTGCAACAAGGATTTAACGGGTATACAAGCGAATTGCCGAGATAAAATGAATGGAAAACATCTTTATCTGACAGAAATTAATATTTATGATTATTTTAACAAAATACTTTCCTTATCCAGTGAGCGAGAGTCTGGCTAATCCAAAATGTTATGGCAAAATTAGCGATGATAGTTGAGAGTTTTGAGGAAACATTTACTATTTTAATTGATTGCTTGAATGACTGACGCCTGCCATTAAAATGAATTGCTAGCCAAAGCAGATGAAGAGCTCGCCTGGGCTAATCGAAAATTATTTCATGTTCGGAGATTCTCTGATCGAAAAACAACACCAAAGCATTAGTGTCACAAACCGTTTAGTAAAGTTTTAGCACAGTCATACAATGCAACTGCTAAATAATCAATATCGGGAAAAAACTACCACAAACTGAATCCTAAGACTCTATGTGTGGAGGTGTTTTTTTTTACAGCGGTGTGAGTGTTTAGAATTAGATTGTTATTGTGCACTCAGTTGAGGAGAATGAAATCTTTCGGTTAGACTGTAAAAGGTTGCAGAGGATATGATATTACAAGTTTTAATATAAAATTAAAAGGAATAGACGGAAACCTTGAATTTCAATGCCTAAACTATACTGGTACAACTTGAAACTTGAAATTGAACCTTGAATTGAAATTGAATCATTCTAATCTAAGGGTACGTAAAAAATTAAGGGAAAAATACAAAAAAAGGTTGCGCGGCAGGCAAACACTCTTGAAGGACCTTTTAATGCATCACACGACTCACAGATGAAGCAGGAGCGTATATAGCATCACTTATATTTATGTGCGTACTTATATGCCACATCAGAGGTTGTGCAGGTTCACTAGTGTAGCACTGTTAAGCCGCGGCTCAGCAACAGCAGCATAGCTTAATTTCGTCGTAAATCTGGTTCGTTAGACGAGAAGAATTGCGTGCGTCAAAAGGCCTGGTAATAAATAGACCTTAGCAAGTGGGTATTTGTCGTCGCTATCGCACTGAAGCTCACTAGCCTCTCACCCCCTCCGTCCCTTCCTGCGCCCAGGCTTAGAGCGCTTCATAGGGCGCGAATAAATTTGCACCTCGTTAATCGTGCCCAGACGACCGAGCGTCGGGCAACAATTCGCCACAGAAATGGTAATGAGTTACGACAATCACGACACGGATTTACTTATGGGTGAGTCGGGGAGGAGCAGAACGCCGCACTAGTTAAGGAAGGGAAGGATCTTACGTTGAAGACTCAGGAGCCAGAGGCCAATATTCACTCAGGTCGGGATGAAGTCAAAATCTCACGATCCTAATACAAATTAAACTGTAATATGCATGGCACTCGCATAAGACGCAAATACACCTGTGACTGAATTGCCAACTAAATAGCTTCATATAACTAACTTATGTTATTTTGTCATTTACATTCATTATGCTGCTAACCAAACAGATTCCAGATAAAGAACGAGCGTATCAGGCCGTAACGCGACACATCTCTTTCATGCTCGCAGACGTACCTGGAATAATAAGTTGCCTACAGAATTGATAGGCTTGCTGAAGAGCCGCAGCGAATGAATTAAAATACGAGGATAAAAGAGAGAATCTCCATAAGGATCGTCCGTCAACAACTGCTTTATGAAGTGAAGTAAGTAGCCTCTCCATAAATCCGAGTTACTATCCGACACAAGCCAAGATGAGGCGTGAAATCACACTTTAATTTTGAGTGCGATGCTACCTGATTTATCTCGCTCCTACATCTCAACTACAGATTAGCAGGCTATTTATTTCGCCGTTAATCCACAGGCATAAAAGAAAGAGACTCGCAATATTGTTAGTTAAATTACCATCTATCCATAGACCTCAGGGGCAGTGGACTATGAACAGCGCCATAGAAAGTGTGTCCGGTAAGTCTGCGAGATGAGAAGCCGACGTCTGCTCAGTCTAATTTCTATGCAGGGCTTCTGGTGGTGGCTAATCAGTTTTTACTGCCACGAGGAAATATCATACAAACTCCTTTCTCCTACAAAAAGCTAAGAGGATTTGATGCACAAATCAGATATAAAAAGCAAGTCCTTTTCAGCAAGTGCCCGTCTCCATCCTTAGTATGCAACGTGGCAGTAGAAATTAAATTTGCTGGTTGACAAAATCATTTAAACGAAAATTTGAATTGTTATTCTGAGGAGAGATAAAAGACTTGAATGCATACTTTAGTCTTGGCCACTTGAACTTATTAAAACGTTCAATAAAACCATTACTGAACGTTAAACACTCTTAAAATATTCCTTTCAAGCATGGGAAGATCAATTCGCTCCAAACATTTGTTAGAACAAAAAAATTGTCAGAGCGTTAAAGCTTTAGCTTATGCTTATAAAAAGCTTCAGAAAACTCGAATTGTTGATGTAATGCAGAAAAAATTCAAATGCAAGTCGCATTTTTACTAAGGGGGCGAAGCTATATTTTGACGAAATTTATAATCTCTAGCTGCTAGGTAGCGTAAACTAGGATATATTTCATGTTAAAAATTGTGTATGTTGCTTAATAACAATCATACACAAGTGGCATAAAAATATTATTTATTTATTGTCATTCCTCGCTGGAATAATATTATTGTATGGCATTGTGGATTTTTTACTGCAACTGTTCTGTACAAGCGTTTGTGAACAAGAATTATACAGCGTCAGGCATTAACAATTATACATCTAAGATCAGACATCACAGCTTACACCTTATGATCTCGTGAGCATATGATGAGTTAGGGACTTCCTAGTGCCCGGTCACGCTGATGCTCCGCCTTCATCGTCCTCCGTCTCCAAGTTGTCACTCCACCCTTGTGTCCCAGATGTAACGTTGGACGTGTTCCGTCTATTTGCCCTCCTTTTGGCCAGCTGATGCAAATGCTTTTGATTGTCACTTGCTGAGGGTAGATTACCAAAACTGGACAATCCGGGATCTTCTTCAGAAACTTATCCAATCGTCTCTTGCAAGCTGCAATTGTAAACTCTCCTCCTCTCAGTAACTTTGGTAAGGCGTTAAACAGCCTTGGTCCTGCCACGAACAGTGTTCCCTCACGAAGAGTCTGTACTCTGGCCGTTGCATGGTTATTGAATGGAGGAATCCTGCATCGTCCCTCCCTCCTTTTGTGGTAATACGTCACAATTTTGGAGGTCTCAATTCCAGTTTCAAAGTTGGGAGCTAGTCCGGTTATCATCTTCCAAGTGTACAATATGATATACCTCTCGCTTCTCCTCTCCAGTGAGTACAGTCCCACGTGTTTCAGCCTTTCCCAGTAGTTCAGGTCCAGCTTCTTCATGCCGCTGATCTTGTACGTGAAGGTCCGCTGCACTACCTCCAGTATTCGCACTGCACCCGCCTTAAGCGGCGCCCAAAGCTGACAGCAGTACTCAAGATTGGGGAACACGAGGGCTCTGAAGAGTGTAATCATTGGCGCTGCTTCTCTTTTTCGAAATTTCCGACAGACCCACTCCATCCTTTCTCTCCCTCGCGCAACTATTTCCTCGATGTGGTTATCGAACCTGGCTTCAGTACACATCAACACTCCGAGATCTCGAACAAATTGCTTTTCTTCAATTTTTGTGCCATCCGATGCCAAGTAGCGATGTGGCATCCCGGTATTAGTGCCAACTCTGTATCTCATTACTTCGAACTTGGTGCCGTTGAATTGCATATTATGCACTAGGGCCCAATCATAGATTGTAGACAAGTCGTCCTGTAACCTCGTGTAGTCTAGGTCCTCTATGATCTTCATCAGCACTCTTGTATCGTCCGAAAATTGCGATGTAGATTCGTTGGTATGTTCCGAGTCGATATCGGCGATGTGGATGAGGAAGAGGATCGGTCCAAGCACCGAGCATTGCGGCACTTCGCTTTTCATCTTCGCTTCTCTCGGTTTCGAATTTCCAATTGCGACAGCTTGTGCGTGATGATAACACGAGATACACGCGTGATGATAACACGAGATACACGCGTGATGATAAAAATCTCAGGTCGAAATGTACGCTTGAGTGTCAAGCAGCGGTGGCAATCACCGCATCGTCCAATCGCAAGACGTACAAGGTTATTCATTCTTTAAATTTTTAAATATTTCACATAAGAGTGAACTTTTAAATTTTTAACATTCTTCCTTCTTTCGTAAGGAATCACGAGGTATAAACTCACGAATTAGAAGCCTTCTGACACTCTAGAAAAAAATCTCTCGAGGGAATGAAGAGAAAGGTATAATTTACCTCTGACAAGAGCTGGTGAGGAGCGAGTCACTGACCTGTTGTGGCGTGGCGGTGAGGAATGAGTGGCAGGACTGACCTGTTGTGGCTTGGCGGTGAGGAATGAGTGGCAGGACTGACCTGTTGTGGCGTGGCGGTGAGGAATGAGTGGCAGGACTGTGTGGCGGGGTCGTCTCGAGGAGCGCGGGCCAGGAAGGAGAAGCACTGCCGCTGAGGGTCACACGTGGCGTAGCTGATGCGGCGGAGGGCGTGAGCCATCAACACTCGCTGCACAGCGCACAGCGTCAGGCATCGCAGTGATGTTTTCTTATTAATTAAAGATACATGGAATTATAGGCCCTTGCCCTTGATGACACGAGTAAGCATCGTTGTGTAAAGTGATATTTTTATTTATTCCTAGCAATTCGAATGATCTTCATTTATTTTCCAAACGGTTAATTTAAAGATCAAGAAGGTCTCACTGAGACCTGAGGGAGGCCTTTTCGAGATGAGGTTATTCTGTTTCAAAATAGGGAAATCCCTGATTGCATTTTTAAAGTTATTAATAATTTTGAAGAGCTCCTGCCGTTCACATAGCTTTCGAGCTACGAAATTTTTTTTACAAATTTTTGTGCATATGATGCTTCGTTTTTACCAATTGAAACTAATTAGCTAGCAAAAGCTTAATAGTGAGATGTGGTTTATTACTTCGAACATTTCAAATATTTTCATGCTGAACACGATAGGTTGCCAAAATTTTTTAATTTATACATTCTAGCCAAATTACCTTCATTCCAGGAAGAGGTAAAAATGCAAAATTAGTAATAATTGTATGAAAAGTTTCATTTATGAGAAAATAAAGAAGAATAAATTTTGCCAGCAAAAAAACGAATAATTATCTGGATTTGTTAGTATGCAATGAAATTATCTTGCAGAATTATTGGTACTCTATTTTCCAAGGATGAGTGAGGCATGAAATGGTTTAACTTAACAAACACTTGGTTATGAAAGAATCTTAAACGACATGCTCATAAAAATATTTCATTCCTAAAGAATTATAGAGAATATCAGAACAATTGTTATCATATCAGGCCTCTGACTGAGATAATGCAAAAGTTTCTTTTGAAGCTTTGGAATCGTTGATCCATTGAATGAGCAAAATATTTTAAGCGAGACATTTGACAGTGATTGAAACTCATCTAAGAAATAGTTTTATTATTTCTAACGAATAGTTTAAAGGAAAGAAAAATCTATCTATTGAAAAATCCATTGAAAATTTAAATTGAAATTGTTTTCAAATAATTTAAAAAGATTGAATGAAAATGCGAAAAAATTTATCTTATATCCACAACTAATAGAGACCGAGACATTTAAAATATTGCATACGTCATAACGAGAAACGCAGATCCGATATGAATTTATAACCGTCAATTTGTAATTGTGTTAGATATATTCGGAATGCACAGACCACTCCATCTATGCTTATTTGGCGATAAAGAAAATCTGAAGTTTAAACTGTTAAACGTGGAAGTTCGAGAAGCAAATGTTAGGTTCAAACTCCAATATATATATGCGTCGTTACAGGAGTAATCATGTAGTAGCTGAAACAGTAAGTGCGGAGTAGACATTTTGCTCTGATGCAAATTTTGATTCTATAATGACACAATAAGAAAATGCTGCAAACATAATGCTGATTATAGTGCAAAAAGCTATTTCATGAATGATGAATCTTTCTGTCAGAGCAGTCTGGCCATATTGATGGTCAGAACAAGCAATGACATATTAATTTGTGCATTAAAAAATGTTCTGAGCAGTCTAATTAACAAATTGCATGAAATTTTCATCATGATACAGAGTACAGACAGTAGTTGAAAAAAATTTCAAATTACGATTCTGTGGATTGAAGTCGAGCGAGAGAATAAAATATCGTAGAATCCCTCAAAACACGTTTTCTGTGTTGCCTACACAATAAACGGGGTAACTCCTTACAAGTGATGTTAATGTAACAGTTAATTGTTAAATGATTTACTTATGAATCTTGGCAATATTTTGACAGTGAAAAATTTGATCATAGCGATAACTTCAGAAAATCCATATCAGTCAGCTTATATATCGGCACTTGAGTTTGCAGGCGGTTGAAGCAAAATGATGATAGATTAAAAAGATTGTAATTGAGCAATAAAGGTGATACAGTTTAAGAAAAAAAACATTATCATCCTGAGTTTGAAGCCAATTTTAACATTCAAGGAATACAAGACTTTCAATAAAACTGTTGTATGCATCGAATGATCGGCGGAATTTGAATGCAGTTGACCGCGATAACAAAACTCTGCATTTGTCAGACGTGCATTTGAAGCGGCATGATTGTTTAGCTCAATGCAAGCATTTTAAAAGTAAAAATTTATAGGCAGTATAGAGCAATGTACATTTTTGACGACTTGTTCAATTCTTTATTTAAAGTCAAGTCAATATTTTCGACTTGATTCCCAACCTTAGACGACGAAGGCTTCGTCTCAACAATTAAGTAATATGTTGACAAGTATTATATACAAAAAATGGGCCCATTGAACATGATCGTACTCCTTAATAAAGACTAATCAAATAATAAAGGCTAATCAGAATCAAACCTAAGCATAATAATAAGCATTATACAATTGATAACTCTGCAACAACTAAAGAAATAAGTTAAATTAAGCAAGAGAGACAATATTATGCTGAAATACCAGGATCTAGACTTGGTGACGACCGCCTGCTTACCTTGCCGTGCGCGTCGCAGATCTTCACACCAGCCAGGGACACCACGACCAGCACGCGTCTGCCCGCACCACCGCTGGCCTGTGGGGCGACACACTGGACCATCAATCTCAAATATCAATGGAACATATTTGTGACAGTTTTTTGTGCGCTTCTTTCCCACCAGGCATTGGACGTCAAAATAAAACCTTATACTTATAAAACCTTATATATAACCTTCTTCGCTGTTAGACATTTTTTATAAGAAATCAACTAGGAATAAACGGTTTTCCAACGTCATTCGTCTGGTAGAGAGAATCGCCTGTTTATTATAAGCTCGATGCTCTTTATAGGATCTACAATACTTATCGTGTTAATATATTACTTAGATCTTAATTTTAATTTTTAGATGCAGAATCTTAAGACACAAATAAACAGTTGGAATTGTGGGCTGAATGAAAACTTATTTTCTGATGTAATTTTAGCATAAAATTGTTTATATGAAAATAAAACTTTTTCAAACTTTGGAAGCGGATTGAGATCTATTTTTTATTTTGAACATGGTTTCGAACAATTCCCTCCTCATTTAAGCATTACATTTTTTAATTAACATCGGAATTCGGGTTTTCGAATCGTGATTATCAACCCAGCGCAACTCTGGGTTAACTTAACTTAATTCGTAAAAGTTTGTTTGTGAATTCATATGTTTGTTTGCTTGAAAAATAATCGAAAAAATTAATATTAAAAAGCTATCAATATTAGAAATAGGCAATTGGAACTTTGATATTAAACTAAAATGTTAACTCCTTTTTTGCCCGGGATGGATAGGTATACTCTGCAATTTGAAAATACCGCCATCCAGCATCCAGTCATCCCACATTCTGTCCTACAGAATGCCATCAAAATGAATTTCATATTTTATCAAGAATTACGAAATTTACGAACGTAATTTAAGGAATTATTCCTTCAATCAATATTAAGCATGGAATGGTACCCTATGGCTCCCAGTTTGAACACAAACAAACGAGCGAAGCCAACCTAGAAACCCAGCAATATTTGACCTATATATATATGTATAAAATAGGATATTTCTTTAAATAAATAATAAATTTTCAAAATAATTACCTGGAGTATGGATAACATGATTTGAAATAACGTTATTCTCAAATTGCTTGGATTATCTAACCTGGGTATCGTAGAGAATTAACAATGGGGCAAAACAAATGACAAGAATCGGCCACAAGCCACCAGGTCAATTCTTCAGCGCCGACATCACTATCAAATGATATACAGGGTGTCCCAAAAAAAACGATACTCAACTTTGAATGGCTGTAACTCGAAAAGTAATAGAGTTAAAAATTTTTGGAAGGTCAGGATTTGTTTCCTATGTTTTTCTGCATCTCTCCACAAAAAATCAGACAGATCGATGTAGCCATATGCGTTTGATAGAACTTTCAGTGACATGTGCTAAAATCGTGCTTGCGCAAAGTTTTAGTTTGATCATTTTGCATACTCATTACGTTGTCTTGACACGTTTTCATTTAGCTGTTTGATTTTTAGCGCATTTTCTCATTTATGAAAAAAATGCACTATTGTGCTCTTAACCTTAACCCTTAACTTAACCTGACTGCCTTGGCTACCGAACTCCATCGATCTGCTTCCCCAGTTCACCGGAAGCAGCTCTGGGAGCCAACATTTTGCACCTGATATTTGAAATTCTCCCAAACCCCCGAAACCCTCCGAAGGGTTTCAGAAAGTAATTTATTTAATACACTTTCTTTTAATCAGGTACAATCTTCATGCAATTTATTACTCGATGTCTAAGAAACTTGCATCACTCATAATATATTTTTTTATCATGACGGCCGAGATTTTTGACGACCAACTTTCATCGTTACCGAATTAACAGTTCCCAAGTTCATTCGCACATATTTCTGTTTCTTCATGTTCAAGTTATTTCTCTACATCTTACACAGAAGGGGATTCAAAATTTTACTCAAAAAGATGAAATATAAAAAATTCGACACAATACACAAACTGCATTTGGAACGTTTTTATTGAGCATGTAATTTAAATCATGAATTACAATCACTGCCACAGCCAGAATAATGGACAATAGCATTGAATGCATCTTCCAACTCTAGTTGCGTATCGTTCCTGAGGTCACATCAGGCATTGGAGTTTCTCTATCATCGTTGTTGGTGCCACTTTAGGCCCCTGGGTAGCACTATCATTGTAGCCGAGACGTACTATACTCGAGGAGCCTAATCTTCCCCATCATTATTGCCAAGCCATTTGAGGCGTTTGTGAAGCCGTTTCATCGAGCTGCCTCTTCAGCTATACTGGATTTTTCATCATATATGATCATGATTCAAGCAACCTTTTCATTGTTGATAATAATTCATCAGGCACCGGATTTGTACAATCGTCTTCGCTGAGGCCTCTGGGGGATTAGGGTCGCCAATTATCGCTGATAAAGGCTTTTCAGCTAACGGATTTGATCCATTATATATTCCGAGGCCTCTTCATGTATCCTTTATGATGCCGCTTAGTGGTCAATAGTTACATCAACATCGCTGCCGAGGTTACAGTAGAGTTGCATTTCACACACTTCGTGAACAACAGTCATAATTATGGAGTGAAGCGTCTTAATTGAGCCCGATCATACCCTAAATTCAGATTATAATGTAAGTTGTAGCGGTAGAATAATTTATCAGCATGTGGATCACTAAGCTTACACTTAGCTTGCACTCTGTAGTAAATTATATCAACTACGTAAGCAGGACGAGTCATGAACTCTTATGAGTGATTGATAAAGTTGCGGATGTTGAGTAATCTCCGGTACATCAGACTTGAGATAAACAAAAAAATATAACTCAGTACTCACTGCAGTGAGTGACAGAGCGCATTTGCTCGTCGACGAAAACGTGAAGTCGCGGACAGACGGACGGTCAGACAGACAGACAGACGGACATGACGAGCGCAATAGGGCATTTTTTCAATGAATGAGAAAATGCATTAAAAATAGAATATATTTGTAGCGAATGATATTTGACGGGTCCTTGCAAGAACAGCGCATGTATTTGAGCCGATTAACGATTTTGAAGGAAAACATACTGATTAAACATACTGAAAAGGGAAAATTTGATGCCGTGATAAATCGTCAATGTAGCGAAAATGGTCAGAAATTTATACGAACGTATAAATTATTTTATAATTAATTCTCTCCTACTTCATGACGAGCGTGAGTGGATCAATACTATCATTAAAACATTATCGCATGAGAACAGCGTTTTTAAAGTAGTCAAGCATGGAAGCCGTCTCTCAAACTAATGTAGATAGCATCATAATATTAAACAAATAATATACATACGAAGAGGACAGCTACAGAGGAAAAGTACTTTAAAGTCAGACGTTATGGCTGAACGTCAAATTCGTTGCTCACGTGATTACGCAGGCTCTTGGGCTTATCTATTACACATAGACGTCTATTTGGCCAAATTTACCCGGGCGTTAAAAGCCTAATAAAGCAAGAGCAGGTGCAGCCCGCAGCTCTGGGCCTCCATTACTTGAGAACGAGGCGCGTTCACACGAGCTTCCAGACGTAGAGTAAATTTGCATGCGCACAGAAAACTTGTTGTTATAGATCAATAAAGCTGAGGTTTGGAATGATGAAATGTGAAGCTGAGAGAAGCGAACGATAAGCATACGTCAAATAAATTTTATAGTTTCATTCCTTTAACATTAAATAAACGTAGAAATTTGGCAGAGAATATCTTCCGTAATTGATGCAGCTGTAGAGCACCATTGAGAAGGCTCGTGGTCTCATAGGGCTCTCTTTTATTGGTCGAGGCGTGAGGCGACACAGCACATCAACTGTAATTGCATGGCATGGACATCTTGGCTCGGGCAGCATCTCAGCAGTAACTTGTTCTATTCGCGTACTTTTAATCATCTAGTTTGCGCGCTGAGTTATATTAATGAATATCAAAATATTTTGAAAATTTCAGAATTAACTGGCTATGCAACCACACTCTGCACCTGATCTGTCCCTGATTTGTGGAAGTGTTCGTTTAAAATATGGAGGCCGGTCGACTTATCATCATGGAAGCGTCAGCTCGGATCATCAATAATTCTCTCAGGTATATATTAAATATCTTAAGTTGTTATTATTATCCTATTATTATTTTCCTCATAACTTGCTGTTATTATACTCTTTTTCAGATTATTTTCTCACTGTCATCGGTATCATATAGGATTTTGGTTACGAATAAGACGCAGCTAGAAACCTAAATAAATCATGAGTTGATTTGATCTATTCGTGATGAAAGAATTATCCGAAAATAGAGCCTGCTTACTGTATTATTTCTGCATAGATGTCCGTGATACATTATCATGCAGTTTTATTTTCATAGCCAGTGCCGGTACTTGTCCATTTCAGTCAAAAGCGGGACGGCTCACTCGTACCACAGTTACATTCCAGGTATGAAGCTTGGCAAGGCCTCCCTGCAAATATGAGCAGTTTTAATGTCGCTCTGGCAGAAACTATATCAGGCATAAGGTTCACTTAGGCACTAGAGGTGTAGCCGTGCGACACACTCAGGCTAAGTAGACATGGAATTTCATTTTCGGAAACGCGCAACACAACGCGTGCCTAAAGCCGTTAAGAGACACGCCGCTCGGCTAGTCAGAATGGCTGTGCTTTTTGCCACCAACTCTGCACGGGGTTAGAGTGTGAATACGATTTTGTGTTAAAGATCATACTCGAGAGGAAGAGCGAGAGGGCTAATTCAATCATATACCAAACAATGACAACTTTCAAGAAAAATATTTAATTGAAGCATAATGAAAAACTTTGATATTGATACTTTGTTGTATATTGATTGTGATTTTGATCTTAATGTTTTTGTAGAAGTCACGTGACCAAAAAAAGTGAATTAGATGTCGCAGTCGTAGATTGAAACTCACGTGGACGCTGAAGAGTGAATTAAACTTTACTTTCGAGGAACTCAAAGTAAAAATATGAATCAAGCTTTTTAAATCCATGCCTTTCTAAAACGTTTGTTTCGGACAGAAGATTTCTGTAAATTAAACTACCTGAT